TAGGGCTAGAACTGATCTCGTCTAATTTTTGGACAGCAAAGGCAGCACAAGATGCAAGATCTCCTCCATGTATGACTTGCATCAGCAGTTGGTTTCTATGCTGAGGCTGGGCATTTGGAGGTGGTAGAGGAAGAGTAGGTTCATATTCTTGCTTAAGGTGAATAACAGGGAAGAAAATGATCTTTCTTCTTCTTCTTCTTGCAGGTATGAAGAGGAAGCCCACTGGCAAACGTGCAGAGGATGAGTCTGTTATGCTCAGAAAGGTAAGAGCACTTCAAACCAACTCAAACACTTATTCCAGGCTGTACGAAGAGCAGCCAGTATTGCTGGAAAGAGAGAGTGAGGGTACAGGGACTCCAGAGGGACCTGGTCTTGACCAACCTTTGGGAAGATTTAATTAAAAGAGTTGAATCCCACCTTAAGGAAGTCAATTTTAGCTGAGCTTGCTCATTTGGAACATTTATGTACCCCAGCTGGTCAAAACCTTTCCTTCCCTCCTCTGCATCTAGTGATTTTTTTGTCTTCTGCCTACGAGGATAAGAGTGAAACAATTTAATAACACAGTAAAATTTACATGCTTGAAAAGAGCAGCCCTAAGAGTTTGTAATCTCATCGCTTGCTGCCATTAAGCAGTTTGCTCTTTCATTTCATAAACCCTTGACACGCTTCAGGACGCGGATTGCGCCAACGCGAACAAAGCTGAGCTGGAAGCCAAGGTGGAGTCCCTCATCCAAGAGATCAACCGCCCGAGGAGCCTGTGTGAAGTGGCAATGGCTCTTCCTCTCCTCTACCCCATGCCTCTCTAGTGAGGCCATGGAGTTGGTCTCCCACAACCCTTCGCTTAAGTTCATGGAGATTTTTGGTGTTTCACGTGTACATCAGTTGACTCCTCCAGATTTCAGAGGCGTTTCGCTTGCACCACATGGGTGGGATCCTAAGGAATCTGTTTAAACTGGGTGGTGAACGTAGGATCCAGAGAAATTAAACCAGAAAATCCCTCTTTGGGTTTTCTGTGGCAAGTCTGAAGTCGTGGTACGTGGAGCACACCGCGTGCCCCTGTCTCCATGCCACGGAGGTCTGCAGGGAAAGCTCCTCCAGTGCAGGTGATCTTGCTGCTGCCCCCAGGAAATCGCTCAGCTCCAAGCACCCACTACAGGCACCTCTGTTATTGTCCAAATAAATGGAGACATGGATGACATCACCACTGATGTCAAAGCTCAGTACGACGACATTGCCAAAAAAAGCCAGGTTGATGCAGAAACCTGGTTCTACGCCATGGTGAGTCATGACCACACTCACAAAAGTACTTACGCCCCACTCCTGCTAGGGGCTGGGCTTCTCCAGATCTCCTAATTTGGGTTGAATGGGCTTTTTACAGGTCTGCTTTCTTAGCCACCGGCTGAGTTTTCCACACGTGTGACACATCCTCTTCCAATGCCTTAATGCACAGAGCTCCTACTGTGCAAACCCTGTGCTCCCCGGTGACAAAGGGTTTTCCCTTAAAGCTCGCGATCCTCCAGGACTGCAGACCCAGAATCACACAGCAGGTTTAATTACAGACTCATCTCCTCACTCAGGCATTGACTTTCATCCCATTTTCTCTCTCCTCAGTATGAGGAACTGAGGAAACCACTGCAAACACAACATACAAAGAATGGAATTGTGGAGCTCAATGGGGTGAATCAGAGACCGGCTGAAGAAGGTGAAAACACCAAAGCCCAGGTCGGGGTGACTCAGGGGCAATAACGTGTCCATCGCCATTGCCAGGCTGGGGCTTTCCAAAACTCCTCCGCTAGAGCAAGGGAGCAATAAAGTCAGTTTTGGGGTAACGCCTGCCAGATGCTGAAGTGTTGAGACTTGCTGGGGATCCAGATCATGGAGTAAAATGGTCTGTTACAACCAAAACCTGGACTACCATCAGTAGAGACCCGCAGTGAGAAGACAACACATACACCAAAGCCTCAGCTGGGCAGAAAGAATCATCCTCCAGTTAAAGGTTTACCTATAGAGTCTGAAAATATAGCAAAGTGCAGGTGGATGAATACACAGATTCAAGAGCTCAGAACTATTCAAAGCACGTGCAAATCCGCGGCACTAATGCAAATCTCCCAACTGCAGAGATGCAAACTGGAAGGAGCCATTGCTGAAGCGGAGGAGCACGGGGAAGTGGTTGTCAAGGATGCAAAGTGCCAACTCTCTGAGCTGGAGCAGGAGGTAAAGCAGGATGTGGCCCGTGATGCCCAGGAGCTCATGAATGTCCAACTGGACACGAGACTGCTGGATGGAGAAGAGAGCAGGTGGGTGCTGGCACAACCCTGCAGGATGCTTGCAAGGAAGAAATAGTGGCACATCTAACCCCACAACCACCTTCACAGTCCGTCTGATGGGCCATCACCTCTGCAATTGCAGGAAATCCCACGGAGACCTGCTGTCCTAGGGAGCAACACCTTCCAAAGCACTTTCCAGCATTTATGGACCCAAACGCCTTACCAAGTCAAAAGCTCCTAATGCACTTGGATTTTCCCCCAAATGGAAGATCTTGCATGAATAAAGATGATGTCTTGTGTAGCCATGGTTGTGCCTGGCCACTGTTGCCCCCCCTCCCCAGCCAAAACAATGAGGCATCATTGACACACGAGCTAACTGAGGGGACAAAGCCCTCAGCCAGGACTTGCTCACACTTACACACAGGGAGCCAAAGCAAAACCCTTTCCCTGCTTAACACCGGACTCGGGAAAACCTCCTCACAGGCATGAGCTGAGTGTTCGAGTCATGGCAGGTCCAAAGCACTTGCCTGGCCTGCCACCAGCTTCCCACATCCCCAAACCTCACAATTATTAGGGACACACACTAAATACAGACTTTGGTTTGTCACATCTCCATCTTCCCCGTCCCCCTAAAGCTACGTGTAGATGGTGGCTGCCCTGGGAATACTTCTAAGTACCAGACAAATCCCCATTCCCACTAGTCCCCCTGGACCTGGTCTGTAGGACGTAAATCCCAAGCAGAAATATTTTCTTTGCAGTTGTGTGCTGATTCCCAGGAAGCATCACATGCGATACTGACCCATGCCTTGGTGGCAGCTACTCTTCCAGCAGCAGATCCCTGTTCAGAAGCAGATGTCCAGTGACCAGGGGTGGCATCTGTGGCAACAGCATCACTGGCTCTGGAGACATCCGTGTTCCTTTTACCACCCTGGGGGGATACAGGGCTGTGAGTGGGAAGAGCTCCAATGTCAAACTCGTGTCCTCTACAACCTCCTACAGGTCAAAATACTAAAAAAAAAGTGTTTGAAAGGAGGGTCCTCACTCCACCAGTTCAGATCAGCAGCATCCTGCTAGCAGCACAGACAGAAAATACTGGGGGGATGTGAAAGCTTTCAGTCCAGTCCACGTTGCTCGTTTCCTGCAACGTTCACAACTGCGATGAAACTTGCTCTTTGCGTTACCTTACGCTGTAGGTTTGTAGACTGGCTCTTCCCAAAGGTTGCCTGTTCCTCTTGGGTTCTGTAGGTCTGGCAAAGCCTGGGCAGCAATGCTGTCTAACAATGCTGTGCAGAGTTAGCTCAGTATGTGCACTAAGGAACCGCTTGCCTTGGAAGACAACTGGGTTGAGAACATTCAGTGACAGAAGTTTTCACTCCTCCACTCTATGGACACAATTGCAACAAAAAAGTTAAAAATCCAGAGCAACGTGGTCCGACACATGAGGATTGCAGACAAGCACAAGATGAACTCTACCGAAGCATCCAAGAGCTCCCTGATCCCTGCAGCAAAGCCGGTAATTTTGGCTTGGAAATGTAACCAACCACCGAAGAGGGAAGGGGAAAGAAACGCAGTAAACAAAACATCATCACACACTTGGAACTTCCACCCTGCCCCTACAGAGCACGCCGCCCTCCCACGCTGCGACGCGGGCACCAACGCTATCCCCGTCCTCCCAAGGACCTGGACGCCCACGTGTGTGAACAGCAAAGCTGGGAAGAGCCCGAGTGCTGATGCCGCAATGAGGACGCTTCCCAACGGAGGAGGCGAAGGACCAAGCCTGGCCCTGCCCCAAACCCAGTGGGAACCCAACCTTCACGCTGAGATACCAGTTTTCTGAGGATTTGGCAAATAAGAGTTTCTGCAAAAGCCACCATGTTCCAAGCATTGGTTTCCATTTTAACTAATCAACAATCCCCCCCAAGTAAACACCATATCAGCAACCCGCAGAAAAATCACCTTGAGAAATAGATCTGGCCCCACAGGTGTTTCCCTGGCAGTAAAACACATCACCTTTTTATAGGCAGAACCAACAAAACATGGTCTTTTACCACTAACCTGCCTGCAAGACTGTTCATTGATTCTTGGTAAATTCATATTTATTAATGAAAGTTTTTATTAAACAGCATGCTGAATCACATTCTCCTTCAAAGCTCTCACTTGCAAGCTGACGTACCCACAAAACATAAAGATTTCCTTTGATAGAAAAGCATTTTACATTTTCAAAGGCTCGGGGCTCCACTTCATCCAAACTACACAAAGGAGAATGTGCCTTTTTTATCATGTCTCCTGAAAACAATTCACCCAACACAACTCCCATTTTTTGTTGCTCTTACACAAGCCCTAAACATGACCCCTCTGACTTAACAGCGTTCTTCAACAAGTCTTTATGGGGAAACACGCTGCCGCTTTCTCTACCGGTAAGCACAACGTATGCTAAGTAGTTCACATTCTTTGCATCATAAACATTTTGTGGAAGTTTCATGCAGCCTCGCCCCGCTTTCCACGCAAATAAAAGGAAGAAGATGCTCCGCTGTGGCCAGAGGGAACTGCACCCTGGAATCTGCTCCCAGCACATCGCCTGCGCCAGCGGTCCCTCTCCCACCACCAACCATGTCCTGCTGCTCCTCCAGCATCCGCTCCGGCCGTGCCGTCAGGAATTTCAGCTCTTCCTCTACAGCTCTTGCCGGGAATCGACGTAGCTTCAGCTCTGCCTCGTGTCACTGGGGCGGTGGCATGGGCTACCGTGGTCTGGGTTACTTCAGCAGCAGAAGTGTTGATGGTGTGGGATTCTCCAGGCGCAGAACAGCTGTTGGAAGATCTCCTCCTCCGAGACGTGGATACGGCTTTGGCGCAGCTGGCACGGGGTTCGGCTACAGAGGAGCTGGCTTTGGCTACCGGGTTGGTGGAGTCTCCAGGCTGTGCACCATCACACCCATCACCGTCAACGAGCAACTCCTCCAACCTCTCAAACTGGAACTTGATCCCAATGTGCAAACGGTGAAGTACCAAGAGAAGGAGCAGATCAAGACCCTCAACAACAAATTTGCTTCTTTCATTGACCAGGTGAGCTGAGAACCCCTCCCCAGCTCCGGTTTGCAGGACAGAGTCCAGGTGAGGTGTCTGGCACGGAAAGGGCATGAAATCCTTGCAAGACAACTCATTTTAGACACCGGGGGTAACTGGCCTACGGGTGCCAACAGAACACCAAGGTATTGATGAGCCACTGCCTTTGGGGAAGCTTCGGTGTACAGGCGCTATCGCTCTGATCTCTCCAGGGAGGGAACAAGCTAAAACCATTTTCATCAGCCTTCTAGTTCCTTCCATTCCCCTCCACACATCCCCATTTACTGCAAATCTCTCCTTTCTAGGGGTGCTCAGATTTTGTGCATTTCCACATGGGAGCCCCAGAACCAGAGCACGCTGGCTCAGGCAACGCTGCGTTTGCCCGTATCGAAAGCGGGAACACGCCTCACTGCTGTGGCACGGGCGCTGGCTCTCAGGAGCTCTTCATCCTCATCTCGTTTCCTATTTTGCTTTCTGCGATTCAGGTTCGGCTCCTGGAACAGCAGAACAAGGTGCTGGAGACCAAGTGGAGCTTTCTGCAGGGTCAGAAACACCGCAAGGACACCATCCCGCCCGCGTTAGAGGCTTGTGTCGGTACCTTGAAGAAGAAGCTGGAAGCACTGGGGTGCAACAGAGCCCAGTTAGAAACAGACCTGAGAGAAGCACAGCAGGCTTTGGAAACCAACAAGAAAATGTAAGTGAAAACCAGAGAAATGTGAGTGCAGGGCTCCAAATGTTGTTTGAGATTTGTAAACGGGCAGCGACCATGAACTTTTTGCAGCAGTCAATGGCTCGCAGAGAACTAGCGGGTAGATTGAGAGATCTGCCAGGATCTCCCGATGTAAAACAAGGTCCCAATTTACAGAGGGATGGAGGAAAAGGAAGATTCCAGGTTCCCTTTCTCCCCTTCCTAATTCAAGGAATTAATATTTAGAAATGTTCAGCAGCTATTTGCTGCTGCAGAGGTCGAATGAAAACACTCCTGCTGCAAATTTGTAAAGACGCTGAAACCTCTCTAAAAACACGCTTGCTTTCCCATGGGCTACGAAACAAGACCAAAGCATCCCAAAACACTCTTTGGGGAGAAGGAAAAAAAAAAAATAAAAAAATGAGGAGTTTCACTTCTTGCAAGAAGGCCTGCAGAAACCCAAACAAAGATGCAATTGTGCTGAACTCAAACAAAACCTCCCGTGTTCCCGCGCAGGTACAAGGACGAATGCAGCCAGCGGACGTGCGCCGAGGGTGAGCTTATTGCCCTGAAGAAGGTGAGCAAGGGGCTGTTTGAACTCTGCTGTCCGGGTCCAGGTCTTTGGGGTGCACGCGGTGATTTATTTCCCGAAAGCAGGACGCAGAAACAAGTACGAGCAGGAGCCGGTGCCTGGGTTTGCTTGAACTCACATCGGCAGCAGCTGCGTAACCGGGAGCTGGCACACGGTCACGGTACCGGCACCGCGAGTCCCTCACCCCAAGGGCAGCCCTGAGTCTGCTCTCGCTAACAAACTTCCTTCTTCTCTCCCCAACGCACCTCCAGGACGCCGACTGTTTTTTCTTAAACAAAGCAGAGCTGCAAGCCAAGGTGGAAAGCCTGAAAGACGAAGCTGAATTCCTGAGAGTGTTCCACGCAGAGGTAAAAAGCCTCCCTGCTGCTCCAGCCATCGCTTGCGTTTCCCAGTTGGGTTTAGAAGCTGCTTATCCCAAAGGACAGGGGTGGAGGGGGTAACGCAGGGCAGTGGTGAATGGTGAGAATCCAAAATTCATCCCTGCGCAGTCACCACCCAGGGGGACGCGGCTGGGGTGACACACCAGCTTGGGGCTGGACTGGGAGCCCAGCAGGACCAGCATCCCTCTGAGCAGCTCAACCCCATGTCACCCTCCAGCAAACCCACCAGCTGCGAGCCCAGATCGCCGATACGTTGGTGGTCGTGCAGATGGACAACAGCCGAGATCTCGACTTGGGTGGCATCACTGGGGACGTCAGGGCGCAGTACGAGGACATCGCCCGCAGGAGCCGGGCAGAAGCACAAGCCTGGTATGAAAACAAGGTGAGAAAACCCGGCAGAGGGAGGGCTGGGGGCAGTGTCTCTCTTCAGACCAACTTTGAACCCAGAGAAACGCTTCCCACCTTCCTGATTTGCTCAGATTGACTCAAAGCACATGTTTTGGGGATATGCAACCATGTCTTCGGGGCTTTTTTAGTTTGAGGAGCTGCGAGCCACTGCAGGCAGAAACACCGACATCCTGCGAGAGACAAAAACCAAGATAGCTGAGCTGAGACGGAGTGTCCAGAGACTGAGCGGAGACGTTGGGAGCGCCAAGGACCAGGTGAGCACGGCCAGGTCTGGTTGTTTCAGTGCGGCAGAAAGCGAATTGTTGCTCCTGCGAGCTCCCATAAAAAAATAGAGCTGTAGCACCTTGCAAAGGGTGTTCATGCGCTGGGGCTCTGCTGCTCCAACGAGGGCTGCAGTAAAGCCCAGTTCATGCAGCACCCGGAGGCAGATGCAGTTACAGCATCCCATCCCCTGCGAGGAACACGAGGGAGGACTGACACTGCACATCCCGTGTCCCTCTCACTGCTGGGCTGAACGCACAACAGCCTTTAAACCCGGCTCTTGCTAACGCGCCACGTTTGAAGAGAGCAAGAGGCAGCTCAGACCCCGTCTTGCCCCTCGCAGCGCTGCAAGCTGGAAGCCGCCGTGGCCAGCGCTGAGCGGCGTGGGGAAAGGACCGTCAAGGATGCAAAGCACAAACTGGCCGAGCTGGAGGCAGCCCTGCAGCAGACCAAGGCTGAGCTGACCCGGCAGCTGCGCGAGAACCAGGAGCTGATGGACGTCAAGCTGGCCCTGGGCACGGAGATCGTCACCTACAGGAAGCTGCTGGAGGGTGAGGAGAGCAGGTGGGTGACACAAGCGACTTCAGGTGCCTGTCTTGAAAAGCAAACCAACCGGACGGTGCTATCGCAGAGCTGCCACGCTGCAAATCAACCGCACAGTCCAGTTCTTCCCATCCGTCCCAATAGACCTCCACCAGTGCAAACCCACCCAAACGACCAGAGCCAAGCTGGAGAGGGTCAGGCTCACATTTGAGGCTAAAAGGGTTTGCCTTTGAAGATAGATTGATGATGTGCAACCTCTTCCTGTTCCCTACAGGCTCTGTGCAGAAGAAGGCTTCGCCATCAACACCTGTAAGTGGGAATATTCACCTTCTGCCTTTTCTCCAGGGCATTTCCTAAGCTGAAGCTCAGCTTTGTTCTGCCTTTCACAGCTGCTCGCCATTCGCAGGGAGGTCTCGCCAACAGCCCAGAGCCCAGCTTTACAAGCACCCACACATCAGCCAAGAGAAACTGGTGCCGGACCAGCAACGTGGGGGTCTGCGGCGCAGCGGTGGGCGGCGGTGACAGTGTCAGCAGCAGGAGCACGAGGAGCTCCCACACGATGGTGGTGTCTACAACCAAGTCAGCCAGGAGCAACATGTAAAGAGCTGGAGATAAATGGCAAGGCTGGAAACAAAGCACCACCCATCCCTTTCTGCCAACACACAGCAGCGGTCAAGCCAGAGCCGGCGTGCACCCAGCTCCCCCGGACCACCCACCCATTTTCCATTCCATGAGGATACAAAAGGCAAAGAGGTCTTTTCTGTGCTCAAGAGTTGTGCTGTTTCTGATAGGGAATCTAGGAGGGAAAATCCCCCTCATCGCTCCCGTTATGCAGTTAGAACAAGACGCCTTTGGTGTAGCTCCCTGGTCTGTCCACTCCTACAGATTCAGGGATTAAAATGAAGTGGGAGAGGGGGCACCTTCTGCCCAAGAGGGTTCTCATTAGAGCTTTGTCTGGGACAGCTGTCTTAGCAGCTCCCACCCTGGATCAACCTCATTTTATCAGTCAGCCTTCTGCATTACACACACACATCCCTGGCACGAGCAGAACTCAGCAAAAATTGCCCAGCTGGCAGGTTCCCTACGCACGGCATCAATTCATTGATTATTTGCCCCAAAGGTTAGACTCCAAGAGCTGTTGCTGTCTGAAGGCAGATTGCTTACGTACTTGCATTCCCTGTTGTGAAACTGATCCTCAACTTTCCTTTTTAATAGTCTGGCTCATCCATTGCCATAAATGCCACCATAACGGAAGGGTTATGGGGCACTACAGTCCGCTGTCAGGTACGAAAGGGGCTGATCCACCGACGTGTGTGGCCCTAAGACACAAAGCTCCTCTGATCTTGTTCAAGGCACTCAAACCCAACCTTAAACACACGGGGCCAGCACCAATTGCCTTCCCAGCCATCCAGTCCCTAGCACACCGAACTGCCAGTTTAGTACATTAACCCTATCAGAAGGAAAAGAGGAAGCAGTGATTTATTTCTAATGACCATGTACTTTGTCGGTGGCTTTTACTCTCATTTCAGTCTTGCATCTCCAATAAATTGACATAGCAACCCAGCTACCTTCATTTGAGAGCTTAATTTGGGGAAAAGGGGGTTAATTCTCATCTCTGCTCCAGGATCTCAAACACCAAAGCTTACAGGGGTCTGGCACCGGCCAAGCCCTCCACCCACTGCCAGCTCTTCCTTCCCAACCCAGGCACCGCACCCCGATGGTCTTCCATAACCCCCAGCACATCTGTTCCTCACGCACGGGAGCGGCTATGCAGGGAGAGGCATTATCACCCCTCTCCAGAGCATCACTGGGTCGAAGGCACAGCTCTCTTCTTCCTCACCCCTGCACCCAAGGAGCAGGATCCATCCCACCCAACACCGGGTGTTCACAACCCCGCTGGCTGCCAGCAAGGCACCAGAAGAGCGTTTCCCTGGTTAGATGTCTTCACTCGGACAGGGCGGAGCCCCACACGGTTTTTTTCCCCCCAGGAAAAACAAACAAAACAAAAACATTTCGAGGGCACTGACTAAGCAAAGATGCTCTAGCAATTTGCATAAAGTTAACTGAAACTTCTTATTACCACCATCGATTGCTAAATCCCCTTAAAACCATCACCCGTTGCCTCGAGTTGCCTGGGAACTCCTCAAAGGCAGATACCAGGAGCTACTGGATGGTTTTACACCCCCTCGTCCTTCCTCCCACCCTGGCACCAGACCAGGTCCCACCGCAGAGACCCCCCCCCAGGCAGAGCAGACCCAGCTCCCAGCCTGTGCCCCAGACCCCTCCCCAGGCTGCAGCTGCTCCAGCACAGTCCCACCACCTCCAGCAAGAAGCTGAAACCCCCTCCCACCCCTATTCTATGGGGTGTTGAGCTTTATAACCTCATCAAGCCAGTTAGGCTTCCCATCAAGCTAATTATGCTTCCCAGGATAGGAGTCATCTCCCCCTCACCTTGCTCCTCCCTGCCCAGTGGAGCTGGGGACTCAGCCCAGCCCATACTGGTTTCATACTATTTAATTCCTTTTAAACACAAGATGAAAATCTCAGTCAACCTCAGAGAAGGGTTCTGGCCGCAGCAGTTACTGAAAAACTGATGGAAACTGAAGCAAACGTGGGTTTAACACCAGGGAATGAAGAAAGCTCCCCAGCATTTGCAGCCTTCTTCCCAGCCCGGGCTGCATCTGAGTCCTCACCCTTCCTCTGCCTCAGTTTCCCTGTAAATAACAGAATTTACCTCCACTGTAAAACCCTCTGACATCTGCGGACAGACCACGATGCCGGCGACCTCAGTCCTGTTCTTACAACACTGTGTGGCCAACCTCGCATCCCGGCGTTGGCAGCACCAGCGGACGGAGCAAAGCCACCGCGTCCTGCAACCAGCCCAGAAGGAAACCTCAGGGATGGTCCAGCAGGAACAGAGCATCCAGCCAGGGCACAGAACTGGAGAGAGAACATCAGCACAGCTCATGAGGAGGGGAGAGATACAGAGGCTGAGAACAAGCAGAGATGGAAGAAAGACTCAAGGTATTGCTTAAACTGTTAGATAAAAACTTATAAACCATACTTAGAAAAGTATTATAAAGTACACTTAATTATGGCGTGTTTTACCCTGCAGAGACCAAGAGGTAGAAGCTGAAGGATGTGGAGCTGCTGGAGCGGGGCCAGAGGAGCCACGGAGATGGGCCGAGGCTGGAGCAGCTCCCGTGCGAGGACAGGCTGAGAGAGTTGG